ATAACAATTACAACAGAGCTCACCAGTACTAAAAGTTATAAAATTTTAGCAATCAAGAGCAAGGCCATAATATATAAAATAAGTTTATTTTTTATAACTGTGTCTCAGCCATTATCATGTAATTCTTCACATAGGAAGGATTGGATATTCAAGTAATAGTCTTTATCCCAACAGATGCACACAGTCAAGATATGAGCAAACAACAGCATTTTTTTCAGTTTAATAAAAAAGTTTTAAAAATATTTATTAAAAATAAAGCAAATATCACAAAATTTTATCAAAGCTTGCCTGTTAATCTAAGGCTAGATGTATCAAGGAAAATTGTCTGTCTGTCTGTCCATTCATCCATCCGTCCATCTATCCATCCATCCATCCTCCATCCATCCATCCATCCATCCATCCATCCATCATCAACTGAATTTAGAGAAATTTGTTTTTGAAGAGATTAGTACATTATTCTAAATCATTCTCCTTCATTCCTTGCTGCTATTTATTTAGAAAATTTATATAGCTGTCAATTGCTCACAATGACTCCAAGCGGCTTACAAACAATAGTTAAGGTTTTCCTTTAAATTTGCTTATAAGGATAAATTTGATAAATTTATATCCATGAAGATGATAGATGATGATGATGATGATAGATAGATAGATAGATAGATAGATAGATAGATAGACAGTCAGATAGACAATGATAGATAGATAGATAGATAGATAGATAGATAGATAGATAGATACTGTAGATAGATAGATAGATAGATAGATGATAGATAGATAGATAGATAGATAGATAGATAGATAGATAGATAGATAGATAGATGATAGACAGACAGACAGACAGATGTAATGCAGAAAGCATTGCCAATCTGAATTTGAGGATATATGAAGATTTCAGAACAATATTTTGCAGAAGGCACTCTGTTATTTACTGTATGATAATCTCAGTATTCTTTCCTGACAGGAGGAACATTTCACGTGCTTGGACTATGTGCTTAGGAGGACACAACTTCTAGATCTGAGACTGAATATTGAGAATGCCTATCTCAAATAGATTTTCCTCACAGGGCTGTTGTTGTGGGGAAAATAGGAGGAAGAAGGAGTATTATCTATGTATGCCATTGAATTATTTATAAAAATATTAAATATGTGATATTAATAAATAATGATAATAAAATAATGTGTGCATCATTTGATTTCCTATACAGATTTATGTTTACATTTTTCTGTATCTGGAAACTTCTACAGTATATGAAACTTCAGCTTCAAGATGCAAAAAGTGAGAAGAAATAAATAAATTCACTACAACACACTGGAATTATAATCTTAGACCCTTGACATAAATTACTTCTGAAGTTAATTTTCTATGTTATTTAGTTTGTGATCAACATTTTATTTCATGTGATACAGAAGGTCAATTTAATTGACAGTGAGGACAATTAACCAGTGGAATAGCTTGCCTCCAGAAAACATGGGCGCTCCATCACTGGAGATTTTAAAGAAGAGGCTAGCCCAGTGTTTCTCAACCTTGACCATTTTAAAGCATGAGGACTTCAACTCCCAGAATTCCACAGCCAGCATTGCTGGCTGTGGAATTCTGGGAGTTGAGGTCCACATGCCTTAAAATGGTCAAGGTTGAGAAACACTGGGCTAGACAGTCACTTGTCTGAGATGGCATAGGTTCTCCTGCTTGAGCAGGGAGCTGGACTAGAAGACCTCCAAGGTCTCTTCCAGTTCTATTCTATTCTATTCTATTCTATTCTATTCTATTCTATTCTATTCTATTCTACTCTACTCTACTCTACTCTACTCTATTCTATTCTATTCTATTCATAAGCTGAGTTTAGAGAAATTTGTTTTTGAAAAGATTACTATATCATTCACTCCTGGTGCTCTATGGAAGCATCAGTGTAGCATTTCTTTCTTTCTGGATCTCTGCCATTTTAGTGGTTATGGGGTAGATGGGCTATAATAATATGAAACTCAAAAAAAATCTATAAAATAATATATTGCATGATATGACTGTATCATATCTTTCATTTGCTTACAATAATTATAGAAATGGAATAAGCTCAATTTAAGATAAATATATTTATAACATTACTTTAAAATGTATAATATCTAGCTAATATAAAGATATAAAATTATTCCTAGAGGAATAATTAATGTTAATTTTTAAGAAGACTTTACAAATACTTGGAAAACTGTTTGGATAATTAACCTTCATTAAAGTAATTGGAAAGCAAGGTATTCCCAAGAAACTATATGGTTTGTTCACTCTACTTCTCTTTAGAAAAATCAGTTATATTTCTGTTTAAGATATCTTTTTTACAATGTTACATTTGAAGACAATAATTAAAGGAGATAAAAACATATATCTATGTTATGTTAATATTTATTGAAATTGACCTATGAAACTTTGAATAAATCTCAAGTAAATAGATGAGAAAAAATGTATATAGCTGTCAACTTGCTATATTTTGAGGTCATTCTCACAAGAGATTAATTAAAAGTTTGAAAACAGCAATATAGTTATCTCTCTGTATGTTTATATGTGTATAAATGAAAAACAAAATTAAAAAGGCTTTTTTATTTTTCTCAGATATCTAAAAAGTAATTATTTTTTTAAACGTTGTTGATATTTGTTATATTCACTGTGAGTAGGGAGGAGATGAACAGAATCACATACAGGAACACATACCATAAATTCTAAGTTCAATAAATTCTATGGAAAATAATTTAACATATTATGTCACATCTCAAATCAGTAATTGTTCTAATTAGTACTGTGAATAATAATCCAAGTGTTTCAGGTAATTTTGGCACATGATGGCAATTACAGTGACAAGAAACTGCCTTAATGAATTATATTGATGCATGAAAATGATGTAGAACTTATTCTCCATTAGTACAGATGAAGGCTGATTATGAATCTTTAACTAATGATAAGTTGATTAACTAAGCTCTAGCTTATGAACTTTTGTATTACATTCAATTTATCTTATGATTCTGCTGGTGAATAAGGAACATGGAAAAAAATCAAGTTTTGTGCAGGTTTAAAAGGGCTGGGGACTGTCAAGAAGAGGTATTTGCTCATAGATTCCTTTTGCAATTCTCCAATACTTTTCTGTAAACATGCTAAAGTTTTGTAAGTGCCAGAGACATTGAAGAGAGTCCAAAATAATACACAGCCTGTGAGGCAAATATGTAGTCTTCAAGTTATACCATATCCATTATGGCCATAATTGATGATGGCAGTAAAGTGGGTCAGTCATGTAATTATTTTGATCTTTGTTGCAGAGATTGTTAGGTAAATGTTGTGATCATAAAGTGACTGCCACCATAATTAAATGACCATCACTATTGGTAAGTGAACCAAGTTTGCTATGAAGCCAAAAATGAAACTAACTTGGTTTTCAACAAAATCATTGTAAAAAAACATTGTCACATGACCAGGGAATCATGCAAATGACACAATAATAACAACAACATGGCACCTGAGGACAATCTAACTCAATCTACACTATCTTAGTCATTTTGTTAAAAAAAAATCATATCAAGAGGCTCATCCACCTTCAGATCCCATGTCCAAGACAACATTCAAGGACTTATGAAATACCATCATGGTCAGTATCAAATGAATTTTAGGTGGGGGATGGGTGGGGAAGGAATATAATTTTCAAAGGGTAGATAATATGACAGAGAAGAACTGCTTTCTGGATCCTGCCAAATGTCATTCCTTATTAGACACCATCTGAACCATGTCTACCCTGCTGAATCTAGTGGGCAGTGCCCATTGGAAAGAGGTGGTTTTGCAAATAATCTCATACATTGGAGGATTTTATAGATGATATAAAGTTACATAATTTAGTAGCTGGAGCAGTGGGATTGTGCAGTGATCTGCACAGTTATAATTGATTGGTTTGAGTTTGCTGGCTGTTGCATGGGGCAATCTGTGCTGTGATTGGTTGCCTTTTTCTACTGTGTATGCTGTGATTTACCTCATGATGCTCCTGTTTGCCTGACTATCTTGTTTGCTGTGTATATAATAGATGTAAAATATATTTATTTATATAAAACTACAAGTTTGTGTCAGTGTCTTTGCTCAATTCCCTAACATATAATAATAACAATAATGGAAAATATCTATGGTGATATTCTTACATATTTTAATATGCAAGACACTCTGTTTTCAAATCTCTGTTCTTGCTAGAGTACCAAATAAGTGAGTATTTTACTTAGATGAGTAACAAAATAAAAAATGAAGGCCTTCACATGAATTATGGGAAAACCTCCAAGATTACAGGACACTTAAAAGTTTAGCCTTCACAATCATAAAAGGGAAGTGTATCCTAATTGCATATTATCTTGGTCAATTTCATTATTAATTATCTGTGATCAAGTTGATGTTGACTTCTAGCAGCCACATAAATAGACTTTCTCCAGAAGTATCTTTCCCTACCTGGTCCCTCCTACCCTTCCAGAAGTGCATCTATTACTACTGTAACTGAAACAATCTACTTAGTTCTTACCACTCACTTCTGACCACATGGCCTAAGTAATTTTGTGGTTAAGGAACTGGCTTAGGGTAACTCAAAATTGAGTTTACCATTAACTATGATTGGCCAGTCAATCTGAAGGAAGATTCTTTATCAAAATTGTCTCAAATGAAAAAATGGGATATAAATCTAAGAATGAAAACAAATAATTCCAATCCATTTTCATTGTTTGTTATAATAGTATTTCCTATCCTTATATTTCTGAAATGATTTGCCAATGAAATTTTAATTTAATTGAATACTTCTGATATAATAGAAATGAGAAATTATCATTGTACTTTTTTTTTCCTTTTTGTCTTTAGCCTAGGTCAGCAAATTCTTCTGTACATGGGGGAAATATATTATTTTAATTATTGTGTGCTGATCTCTAGGGAGCTTGACAACAAAGTTTAAATTGCTATCTTTATGCATGCAACTTCTTAAATAGCTATCAAAGAAAGGGGTACATATATATTTGTCTATATATCTATCCATGTCTTTGTGCCAGTGTTGACTCCTGAGTACTTTTTGGTGAGTGACTGGCCCAATGTCACCCGGCTGGCTTTGTGCCTAATATAGGACCAGAACTCATGATCTTCCAAGCTTAACTACTACATTAGATTGGCTCTCTCAAAGAAAAGTAACAAAGATAACTTATACAAGTAATTAAAAAGCAACTAGAGGTAAAAATGAAATCTATATTGAAAAAAATCCTTCTTACAAAGGATTCTGAAAATCTTAGTGAATGCTGTTTTTGCTTTAAAAGCATCATTATAAAATATATTACAAGATAGGAATGTGTGAATATGTGATGTGTATCTTCATGATTTTGAAAGATATAGCTTTAACATTATCCACACTCAAGCAAAAGAAAAGTATAACTATTAAAGTAAAATGCATCCCTTATTATCTTTATCTCTGTTATGGATAAAAAAGAAAAATAATCAATGTAACGATTTATACTGAACTATTTTACTCATATCAGAATCTCTAAAAAGTCAAATCTTTTTATCTTTAAACCGTATTATTTCTATTGTTCAGTATAAACAGTTTTGTTTAATACTTGTTTAATACTTAATACATGTAAAATGCAGTCTGTTCTTTTCTATTGGAGTCAGGAAGGTTGATGATACTCAGAATTACTTTTTTTTTCATCATTCAATTATCTGTCTAACAAGATAATTTACCAGTATGTTGATAAATGAATTTTATCCCTTTTCAATCATAGAATTCCTTTGCATTCATATGCAAATGTTGTCTTGTAGTTTCAGGTGACAAATTATAACCATGTAAAAAGCAGTGTTCTATTGTTCTGTAAAAATGTTAGAATGCATTTTATTTCATGTGAGAGAACTTTTTATATAAAAAGTAGGTGTTGCAGTTTCATTTGGACAGTGACAACATAGTCACTGTTTCTGACAACTGAATCATTGTTTATGGGACCTAAATAGTTTTCCGTGGTATAGTTTTCAGTGGAATAACCCAGCAGGTAACTTAGTATTATAGTCTGAGCATGTATTTTAATTTCCCATTTTATTTCTTGTGGCTTGATGATAATTCACAAGTTCTGTACTATATATTAAACTTTAAAAGTGGTATGTACTTTTAAAAAAGTATGACAGTGTCAACATTCATTGTATTTAGTTTGAGCGAAGACTGACAAAATGTACACTTTGATCATGATGTCAAAGAAAAAGTTCACACACACACACACACACACAAACAAGCACATTTTATTCTGTATCATTTTATGCTACTAGTATATACAAAGAGATAACATTACAGAAGATAGTTGAACCATATTGTTCTTTAAGTAATAAAATGTTCCTAGCTTCTCTCAGGATGACTAAGAAAATATGGGATGAGGGAGGTTCTCATTTGAGTTTGAATGTATGATGAAATGTGTCATCTCATTTAGAGTTCTAAATTTATCATTAAAATGCTAACTGCCTCTGTTTCCATTTTAAGGACTAATAAAAAATGCTAAAGGATATGTACAACAAGCATGATGCAGGTAACTAATTGGAGTCAAGGAATGGTGGGAGACTAATTTAAGTGGTTTTACATATATTTTATACAAATAAGCACAAGTAACATAATTATCTAGAAAATAATTTGAAATAATATTTTTGAATAGTTGAGCACCTCACTGTTTCTTTTATTCTTTCTTTTGTAAATCTGTAGTAGCTGTAGATATTGTTCTTCTACTATTCTTTTTTTCCTTCACTATTTTAGTTTCTCCTGAAGCACTAATATAAAGGCTTATGCTTTTGTCAATAATGCTGTTTGCATTTCTCCTGAAGGAAGCTTTCCCCCTAAATCTTCATTTAGAATGTAGCAGATAAACTCATAATTTTTTTATATTCTCACTTTCTGTAAAGGGGACACCATACAATTGGCATATACTTAAGTATAGAAATGGGCTAAATAAATCAAAACCTTAAATAAGTTAAAAAAAACCTTGCAACAAGGTCTAAATTTATTGCAAAAAATGTTCCCATTGGCTTCTCATTAAATATAGAGGTGAATATTTGGGATATTTTTTATTAAATTAATCCTGATTAATTTTAATCGCAATCTCTGAATTAAACAATTTCTTTTCTGTTACTTCAACAGGAAACATACAATTGAGAATCAAGACAACATGCTTAATCACACCTCCACAGCTGAATTTCTCCTATTGACATTCTCAGAGATCCGAGAATTGCAGATCATGCATTTCTTTGTGTTTCTAGTTTTGTACTTGGTGGCAATATCTGGGAATCTTTCAATCATTTTTGCAGTAACCTTTGATTACCATCTGCATTCACCCATGTATTTTTTCCTAATGAATTTGGCTATGTTGGATCTTGGTTCCATCTCTGTTACAGTCCCCAAATCTATGGTTAATTCTCTTTTGAACAATAAGTCTATTTCTTATTCTGGATGTGTTGCTCAAGTATTCTTCTATGTGTTCTTTGCAGGATCAGATCTTGCCCTCCTAACAGTAATGGCATATGATCGTTATGTGGCCATCTGCAATCCACTCCAATATGAAATAGTTATGCACAAAAGAGCCTGCATTCAGATGGCAATCAGTGCATGGGTTGGAGGCATACTTTATGCAACATTACACACTTCAGGAACATTTAGCCTTAGCTTTTGTTCCAATTATATCAATCAGTTCTTCTGTGAAATCCCACAATTATTGAAACTGTCTTGTTCTGATTTATACCTAATTGAGGTTGGATTCCTTATATTAGGTTGTTGCATTGGGCTAATATGCTTTATTTTCATCATTGAAAGTTACGGAGAAATCCTTGTAACAGTTCTTAGAATCCCTTCTAAGCATGTTTCTAAAAAAGCATTCTCTACTTGTCTTCCTCACCTCATAGTTGTTTCCATTTTTATTTTCAGTTTAATTCTGGCCTACGAAAGGCCTCCCACTAAAATTTCCTCTAATCTTGATATAGCATTTGCTGTGATTTATTCCATTATTCCACCAATACTGAATCCATTCATCTATAGTGTGAGGAACAAAGAAATCAAAATTGCTTTGCGGAAACTGTTAGATTTGGAGGATTCATCCCAGCTCAGCTCCAATTAATTCCAATTTTATCACATAAAAGTGTCATAATTCTTTTTATCATGGTAAAAAAGAAAGAAAGAAAATAATCCGTCTCAACAAAACAGTTCATGTCATCAAAAGTATCTTGTGGGGGAGCCAAAAAAGTGAAAATGATGGGTATGATGCTTGCTTGTAATATATATTAAAAATGCATGTTACTTTGTATAGTCACAATTGGCATCTTAACTTTTTTTTTACCCCAACATGGATGTCCCTGCATGTCATCTCAGTTTTTGTCATTTGAAAAATGCAGAAGACTTGTGCATAGGCACTGCACACATTCAGGAATTTGTTTTAACATTTCCAGATGTTGAATAACTGGAATTTTAAATGCAGATTTTACTCATGTGCACTGAAACTTTTGGTGGGCATTACAATGCCAGAATATATACAGACTGAAAAAGCTGAAAGTATATGAGTTGGATATTTACTGAGGAAAGGAAACTTAGTCAAGATAATAAAGAAAAATGAAATAATATATTTTAAAGAGATTTTGCCTTAATTAACTTAATGTAACAGAGGATGAAAAATTCCTATTATAGAGTATGTGATTACCAAGGTTCTGTTTTTACTCTAAATTATCATTAAAGATAGGTAAATAAAATCTATGTTGCTGTTGCTTCCTTGATCTTGCTTGTAGAAAATAGTTTTTAATAAAAGTTAATCAAACACACTGAAGGAATGAATTTATTTTACTCTTAGAAGGGAGAAGACCACATTGCTTCATAAAAGAATTTTATGTGGAAATGTTTGTTCAACAATTGTCCAAAGCTAAAGTTGCCTATCACAATATTCAAGTTACATTTTTAGTGGATTTACTGAAAGCAGCAGAGAGTGACATCATTATTGAATGATAAAGTTCCATCGGTCTTATTGATCAGTGTTTAATAAGTGTAATTTGACAGAATTCAGTCCCCACCTTTCTCATTCTTGCCTTGATCATCTTCCTGTGTTATCAAATCAAGAGTAAGAGCTCCTGTCCCTGAAGTATTACCCTCTGACCAAAAGACTATCATGGGTTTGACAAATAATGATTATGATTTGAGAATGGCTCTGTTGACCACTAAATTTAGTATTCCCCTATACCTTCCTTCCTCTTTCAAGATATTTTTTTTTTATAAAAGCAAGTGCCCAAATGGCAAGGGATCATATAGATGTCTATGTGATGATCTAGAAGACATACATCAAGTGAAGTCTGGTAGATATAGCAGAAGAGATAGTTGTTAATATGTATCTAATACACCATTCTTTTTTTATTTATTTATGCTCCCAGATCAACAAAAATAGAGATATGTTTTTTAAAAAAATATAAAAAAGAAACAAACCTAAAATATTAATCTTGAAAACAGAGTATCAATTAACTTCAGAAAACCAAAGTTGCTCTAAAGTATAAATGTGAAAAAGGGGAGGGTTTCAACTTTTCATTCCTTTTAGATTTCTGCTGCTTTGCTATATTTATAGTAGATCTTAGAATAACAGTAGAGACATACATTTAACTCCTTTGGAAGAAAATTATTTGTTAAAGATTTAAATACAACCAAAGAAAGATAACAGAGAAAGATAACAGAGAACATGGAAGTATTCTGCATGTCTAGAAAAGGATAAATTATCAGGAATTCTTTTATTAGATTGCTTCTTGTCATGAACACTGCATTATTATTTTTTTTGCATGCATTTGTCACACATTGTATATTTCCAGAAAACTTCATTAAGAACCAACAATGGGATACCTATAAACCTGTTATTATAACTAATATCAATTAAAATAGTTTCATCCTTCCTGAAAAGGTAATTCTTGATCTGGGCTAATTAGTGGGCCTGGCATTAATGATAAATCAATACATAGCTATTAATGTTGATTGGAATATGATATTTACAGAAGTAAAGAATCAAAGAATGGAGCAAAAATATCCCACTTCTCTCAATTTCTGCCTAAGACTTTCTAGGATAAATTATCTACAAAATGTATGTGGGCATAAATATTTTTTTTGGCCTGACCAAGCTAGATATTTATAGATTATGACTTTTGCTGTGATAAATCACAACTCAAGCCTGTCAATGAAGGCTTTTTGTGGAGTTGGTGGATGTTAGTACGTATGTCCATTAATGAATCCAGTATTTCCTGTTATGCTCCTCCTATCTACCTGATCATTTACTTAATAACAAAAAGTAGCTAGTTTGCTCTTTGAAAGCAGCTTAGCCAAAGTGACTAATGAGCATTTGAGTTAGGACATGTTAATTGGATCAAGTTATTCTGTCTTAAGAAAATAAATTATTGATATAGATACATTTGATCCTTTTAGAATTCCAACTTCACTCAGTTCCATGGCCCAGCCATATTCTGTATACTTATAATCTTGATTTTCATTGAATGACAGACAACAAATCTATGGTGATAAAAAATACAATATTTATCTTATGATGATAAGAACAATCTTTTGCTATCAGGAGATCCAATAGCAACAAAAAGAAAAAAGAAAGAAAGGAGAAAACCTATTTAAACATCATGCATAAAATCATATATTTCAAACCTGAAGAGAAAATGCATGGTTAGTTCCAAGCAAACTGCTAAATGATAAAGTAAGTTCTTTCTTTATATAGTTTACATTTTAGAAAAAGAAAAAAAAAACATTTCTCAATTTCTTAGACAACTTTAACATTTGAAATATCAATATATTTGTCAATTTCACCAACATAAAGAGATTAAACAACAGCAAACAGTAGAGCTGGGCTTTCTTATAGTCTATAATCAAAGACTGTAATATTTTATCATAATTCAATTAATTTCTAAGAAAGTATCTCATGACAAGATACAATCTGTGTACATTTCAAAATATACTAATTACACAGTTATTGCAAATGGTATGAATTTTAAAATTATTAAGGTCAGGCATTCAGAAATGCATACCACTTTTATTGTCCTTACCATTTAACAATATCAAACAGAAAATCTTTTTTATGTTCTTAAAATGATAAGTCCAGTTCAAGTATAAATTCAGAATTTTTTGAAGTGTTATAAGATACGTGAAAAGTGGGGTATGTATACAAGAATGAAGTCTAACACCTTTATTTACTCCTTATTTCCTTGTTTCCTTCTTTTGTCTCTCTTTCTCCCTCTTTTTCAGCATATTTTCATTTTATTAGTTTTAAAGAAAAACATTAATGTGAAAGGGTTTTTTCCTCTTTTTTTGTAAAATCTATTACTAATCTGACAATAGCAATAAATTTTGGAAGGATGTGTAAAACATGAAGCAGCATGTAAGAACTCACTTTTTCTATTCTATGGAAAATATCCAGATATTTAAAAGGTTTGGATTAATCCAAATCTAGACTACTGTGAACATTTTGTAGAATTTTCTATGAAAAAAAGCATTTAGAAAACTTGATACAATTTCACAAATTCTTGTCCATAGTTTTCTTTTCAAGAATAATTTGGATGACTTTCAAAAGAAGAGCTAAAACTGCATATCATCAATATGAGTTTATTTACCAAGTCTTTAAAATGTGCTGTGGAGTATACAGGAAGATGTATGTAGTCTCTTTCTACAATACTTTAAACCAACTGCATCATTTTTATGATCACATGGCAGCTGTGGAATGCTGCTGCATGAATTTAAAATTCTAGAAAAAGCACCTCTGCTTTAAAGATTTTATACATAAGAGTTATATTTCTGTTCTTTCACAAAGCACTTTGGGGAGATTAAACCCAAAGTGCTCTTCAGTGCTGTTCTAGTAATCAACTGCTTTATGTGCCTTCTATCTCTTGCATAGGAGTTTTGATTACAACATCATCAGTTATTTATCTGCATGCATTTATTTTGTGTGTTAGTTTTATTCTAGCTATTTCATATTTCATATTCACTGTTCTTGGGTTGGTATTTATCTCAGCTTACTATAATAAACATTAATATATTTATTATGACTTCATCATTTGTGGATTAGAGCAGAAGATAAATGGAAAATTATAACATTGTTCATAAAAAGTTTACATTTTTACTATTACAATCCTTTTTCAATTACAGATTTCTAGCTCCTAAACAGAATTAAATTGCTACTCAGTTTAAAAATAGCATTTTTCAAAAATAAAAATAAAAATGGTCCAATTTGACTAATTGCTAGGTCTGCTTCCTACATGACTAGTCTATAAAATGGATAGTGTGAATTTGACTTAGTCTGATATGTATATCAAGCCAAAATAAATTAAGAAATTTAGATTTATGTTTAGTATGTTTATCATTTTTAAAATTAATAATCCTTTACTATAATTAATTAACCCAGCCAATATAATTAGTATGGCATTCAGCTGGAAAACAGGATAATTTCCCCCTTTAAGATATTTAAAAGGAGTGTAGAATAGTTCTTGCTTTTGGAAATCTTCCTATATTTTATGCCTACATGACTTTGATTCATATTAATAGTGGGCTTTGTGTGATGAAGGCAATTAGTCAATAATGTTAAGATGAAGAGGGATGTTTTTTGTCACCTTGCACTATTTTCTGTTTTGCCATTGCCAAAACAGGATTCTGGACTCCATGGAACTGAAGTAGCTTCATTAGTATATTTGTTACTTGAGATACAATTGATATCAATGAAGGCATCATTCATAGACAAAGACTGAATATCAGTATTTCCTTCCATTTTAATATTCTCCAATAAAGAATTTAAAATAAGAAAAAAAATGAAGTTTGTATTCCTATTGAGAAATTTTAAGTATTTCTCTAGCCTCTTTCCTAAAAAAATGCTGAACTTCTGTCTAAATTATCAGTATATATGTATGTATATATGTATGATACATATATATGTAGTATTTAGAATGAATATTCATATTCATTCATATCATTTTATTCATCAATACTACTTAAAATGCCACTCTGAGCTTTTCATAAGAGCAGAGATTTTTTCCTTTCTTTTTTTCTCTTTCTTTTATTTAATTTTTTTAAATAATTGTGTTAATCACTACCAACATTTTGGTATGTCCCCATCCTATCACATGAACATTTAACATATATTTATTTCAGATGGAAATAAGATATCAGTGTATTTTTTATGAAGAGATTTTCTGATGTCAGCTGGAAATATTTCAAACTATGGTCATGTTTTGTTAGAGTCCCAATTTTATAATATATTTTATTATAATTTTATGTCTTTTAAGAACTGTTAACTAACTTAATTTTAATTTAATAAATTTTATAATAAATTTTCAGACAATATTCATTTTCTTAGCCAAATATTGTAAATTGTTTGTGTGTGGTGGCTGAGTTATTTTGGCAATTTATATTTTCTGGTGACAGATTGCAATCACCTATTTTATGTATTTCATATAAGTAAGTTTCTATATCTCCTTCCAAACTATTCACTTGAAATTTTGATTCCCTTAGAATGGAAAGGCTAACCAAAATCCAGTGCTGATTTTCTTGTCTGAAATTGAGAATAAATATTTTTACATAAGAATAGGCTGTAATTTGGAGGTCTATGCAGTCTTTGAAAATGATTTAAGAGAGGCTTGGGAGGAAAAAAAAAGACATTGCTGTTTGTATGAGTTATTTCCAGATAATACAGAAGCAAAAAAGAAAAAAAGAAAAAGAGGCTGCTTTAAGACATACTAGACAGTACTTGTAGACTTGAAATGTCCAAAGAGCTTTCTGAAAACCCTTTTGGAAGCTTGGAAGTGCCTAATTTAATTTTCCTTTTCTTCTAGATACCTCTTAATAAAATGGATAACATGTCATCTCCTTCTAATTTTCTGCTCCTTCAATTCTCAGCAGTTTGGGAATTACAGATTCTACACTTTCTTCTGTTCCTGATACTGTATCTTGCAATTGTATTAGGGAATCTCCTGATTATTTCTGCTGTTATTTTTGATCATTACCTTCACACCCCCATGTATTTCTTCCTGATGAACTTAGCCATTCTCGACCTTGGCTCTATTTCTACTATTATTCCCAAATCCATGGGCAATTCTTTCATGAACTCTAGAAACATTTCTTACTCTGAATGTGTTGTTCAGGTTTTCTGTTTTATATCCTTTGTTGAATCTGATTTCTTTCTCCTCACAGTCATGGCATATGATCGTTATGTTGCCATTTGCCATCCACTGCACTATGGCATATTAATGAATAGGCAAGCTTGTGCACAAATAGTGCTTTGTGTTTGGCTAATGGGAATTTTTAATGGAGCAATGCATACTACAGGCACATTTGCAATCTCTTTTTGCTCCAATGTTGTTAATCAGTTCTACTGTGAAATCCCACAGTTACTCAAGCTATCTTGCTCTGATTCATACCAACCCGAACTTACTATTCTGGTAATCAATATTATGATAGAAGGAGCTTGTTTTGTCTTCATCATTATAACATATGTGCTGATCTTTACAGCAGTACTAAAAATCCCTTTTGTTCATGGAAGACAAAAAGCCTTTGCTACCTGCCTTCCACACCTCACTGTATTTTCTATATTTATATTCACTGGGTGGTTTGCCTACTTAAAACCACCTTCTAATACTCCATCTAGTTGGGATTTGGCACTGACTATGATATATACCTTTGTCCCACCTCTGCTGAATCCAGTGATCTATAGCATGAGAAACAAAGAACTCAAAGTTGCCTTCACCAAATTATTTCTTTCAGCATGTTCTTCTACGGAAACCTATTTTAATGTTTTCGTATCACAATGAGCTTTGCATTGGCTTAATCACTTTCATATATTTCAGGGAGATTAAAGATATTTTAAATAGAATATTACCAAAATTTAGGCAAAAGCATGTTCCAGAAACTAATATGAGGTTGAAGCTTGAAATTTTATCTGTCTTCTGAACTGGGAAAAACATCAAATGCCCTAATAAAACACACTAATTAAAAACAAATAATATTCTAATATATGTATTTGTTCCCTGTATTTTGGAAATGAAAAGTTGAAATGTTCTAACTTTTGACTTCTCAAAACTATTTAATATAATTTATTCTCCTCCTCTTCTTTCTTAGTTACACCCATGGTATATTGAGGTAGTCCTTCATTCAAATTTAGTTACAATGATAAATGATAAAGATAATAAAGAAAATGCATTTGATTATGTAGTGGAAGTACAGGTAACTATTTATTAACCCTCACCAATAAGTGTTTAGTTTTTTAAAGATAAGTTAAGATTTCCTGGAATATTATTTGCTATTTCTTTTTAAAAACTCTTGTTTATACTGAGCTATTTGCACGGTCTCTACTATAGTTCCTTACATGCAGATCTGAAGTATTTAACCAAGGAAAACCAAATAAACAAAGAAAAATATATGCATTTGTTACAGAGATTTAGTTTTGAAAGTGAAGTCAGCAAAGAAATTATCTTACACAACAATCAAAGCATTGTTTGTTCCATAGATTAAAGGAAATATGAACAAATTTCTAGCCACATTTTCTCACACCTACATAGACTTAAGGCTGCTAAAATAAGCTAAGCTCCTGAGAAATGGGTCCCCTGAGAAATATTACAAAATTAAAGAAAGATAATCCTTTGTTTTTATCTAGCATTCCCACATTAAAAAAAATTGAAGAGCATTTCACTTCATCTTGAATACTGCCACTGGTACATAAGAAAAATATCTGAGATTTGACCTCCTATTGCAAGCTCTGAAATCGAAAAAGTTGAATGAAAAATAAATTGTTTGAAAAGCAATGGATACTGCCACAGATACATGAGAAAAGAGTCTGGGGGTTGATCTCCTATTAGAAGCTCTGAAGTCTAAAGAAACAAATGAAAAATAAATCTAGAGTCAATGAATTCCTTTTGCATGGATTCCCTGATACCGAAGAGCTACGGATAGTCCACATCATTGTTTTTTTAATAATTTATTTAGTAGCCCTCATTGAAAATCTCATCATCATCACTGTCATTGGAGCCATCAGTTCCATTCACCCATGTATTTTTTTCTAGTCAATCTATCCTTGCAGGATCTTGGCTCCTCCTCCTCCTCCTCCTCCTCCTCCCCCCCTCCTCCTCCTCCTCCTCCTCCCCCCCTCCTTCTCTATAGCATTAGTATAACATGGTGGTATTTTATCCAAGAATAAACAAAAGTACAAATAAAATGATTATAAAATAAACAAAATAAATTTAATTAAGTAATTATTGTACTTTTAACTATGTGCTAGCCATTCTTAATAAGTTCTTAGGTTTTTTAAAGATATGCCACGATTGGCTGTCTATGGAGAATCTCAGCCATCCAGGTCATGGTTGTCCCAAAGGTGCTTTTTCAGGAGGCAACTGGACTTTCTTGTTTTTCTTTGAAGACATTTCACTTCCAAGAAGCATCTTCAGCTCTGACTGGATGGTGGGGAATGGAAAGATTTATATTCCTTGCAGACAGCTGGAATGATGAGAGAGCATGAACAGATTTCCAGAAAACATTGCAGACTACAGCAACCATTTGCACTTCAGTTTGAAATGCAGACAACACAGACTCAACCTCAACTGCCTGTGCCTGTGAAGGGACTCAGGGTAGAAAACATCTTGCATCCAAGAAGGCTCCACACCCATTTGCACCACTCAGGTGACCCTGAGTGGGTCACCTGAGTGAGAAAAACTCCAAATGGCCTCAATGACTCTCTAAAAGAAATCAAATGACCAGTTGTCTGCAAGGCATATAAATCCTTCCATTCCCACCATCCAGTCAGAGCTGAAGAAGATTCTTGGATGAGAAGAGAAATATCTTTTAAAAAAAGAACCAAGAAAGTCCAGTTGCCTCCTGAAAAAGTAGCTTTGGGACAGAGCTACAAGATTGGATGTTCTTTTTACATCCAAGCTATTTGCACAGTCTATACTACAGCTTTTTACATGCAACTCTGAAGTACTTAACCAAAGGGAGAAAAGTAAGACAAAACAAAAATCAATTATGTATTTATCAGTGATATTTTAGTTTTGAAACTGAAGTCAGCCCAGATTTTTTTTTTTTTTTTTGTGCTACAATCAAAGCAGTCTGGAAGATGAATACAATATTTGCTCTACAGATTAAAGCACATCTATGCATTTTATGGTCCACATTAGGCCCTTTGTCTGTCCCTGTCTGTTCCATGGTGGCATAGGCAGGGGCGGGGGAGCAGTGAAGAGGAGTAAGGGGTTGAGTGGTGGCAGCAGGGCAGTGGTGAAAGAAGTGGTACAGCAAGGGATAACAGAGCAGCAGAGGGGGGAGTGGTGGCAGCTTTCCATAACAGTCCCACATTTCATTTTGCCCTTTGGAAAATTAATTGCTGACCTCTGGATGGATTAAAAGCATTGTGAACAAAGCTCTAACCACATTTTCCAACACCCACATGACTTCAAAAGTATACTAGGCTCCTGAGAAATTCCTCCTCCGAGGATAATTACAAGCATCCCATAGATAAAACTTTCTTTTTACCTAGCACTCTAACATCAAAATAAATTGTTTTAAAAGCAATGGATACGGCCACAGATACATGAGAAAAGGGTCTGAGGGTTGATCTATTAGAAGCTCTGAAGTCTAAAGAAACAAATGGAAAATGAATCTGGAGTCAGCGAATTCCTTTTGCATGGATTCCCTGATACAGAGGAGCTATGGATGGTCCACACTGTTGTCTTTTTAATAATTTATTTAGTAGCCCTCATTGAAAATCTCATCATCATCACTGTTATTGTCTATAGTCATCAGCTCCATTCACCCATGTATTTTTTTCTAGTCAATCTATCCTTGCAAGATCTTGGCTCCATCTCTGTCACAGTTCCCAAGTCCATGGTGAATTCCTTGATGAACACAGAAGCCATTTCTTACTCTGGATGTCTTTGCCAGATTTTTTTCCTTGTTTTCTTCATGATGTCTCACTTCTTTCTCCTCTGTGTAATGGCCTATGATCGTTATGTAGCCATCTGCAGCCCACTGCATTATGAGACTATAATGAGTAAAAAAGCCAGCATCCAAATGGCAACCAGTGTTTGGATCGGTGGGCTGTCTTATTCAATGCTCCATACAGGAAATTTGTTTACAATGAAGTTCTGCTCTAGAATCATCAATCAATTCTTCTGTGAAATTCCTCAGCTGCTCAAGATCTCTTGCTCTGCCTCTTATGTTGCAGAAGAGTGGGTACTCATCTTGGGTTCTTGTTTAGCATTCATTCTTTTTGTTCTGATTGTTTTTTCATATGTGAGGATTTTTAAAGCAGTTTTGCAAATCCCATCCACACAAGGGAAGCAAAAGGCCTTCTCTACTTCTTTACCTCATCTCCTAGTTATTTGTCTGTTTTTGGTAAGTGGTACCTTTGCATACCTGAAACCCATATCCAGCTTCCCATCAGACATCCTGATTTCAACATTTTACTGTGTGGTGCCACCAGTCTTGAATCCATTGATCTATAGTATGAGGAACAAGGAACTCAAAATGGCATTCTCAAAGCTGATCTTCAAGTTTTCTTCCAATACCTAACAAAATTTTCTCAATTTTGTGTATTCAATAAATGCTTTAAATTAATTCTTGAATACAGCACTGGGCAGCTTACAACCAATAAATCTTAATTTAGGTAAAAAAATATTATTTTTTTCAGACCAGCAACTAGCATTAAATCTTTGTGAAACAACATAAAAAATACAAGTATAGAATGCTAACATGTTAAATTACATATTCCTGTTCCTTTAAAGGAGAAATGTATCCATTCATTATGATTTATATTACTTGTATTTTATTGCAGAAATAATATAAATATATAGAATGGTAATGTTCCTGTCTCTATATGGATTTATTTAAATATGAATTTTTATTCTGGCTTCCTTAATTGCTTTTTTATATAACAGATGCATTTTACTGTCATTTCCATTAATTAAATATGTATATCTAGATAATAATATCAAAAGATAATATTAAATAAAAATATATAAGATTATATTAAAAAAGTAAGAACCAAAGTTGCTTTCATGTATATATAATCACCTCTGAAATTACTTAAGAAACCTAGTTTGTGAATTTAAAACAGAACAGACTTGATCGTATTTATGAAACAGTGCTGGTGAATGGAAAGTGTCCAAGAAAATATTTGTTCAGTCAAAGATTTGTATTCATGCTGTTTATTATAGAACTTTTTCTTTAAAAACAAACATCCTAATTTGTATCATATAATAATATGAAAAAAATGTTTTGAGAATTTTCCATAGAGCGTGACTATAAAAATATACATCATCTAAATACATTACAGTAAGTAAATTAAACCTTATTTAAAAAGTATTAATTTTATATCTTCAGTGACAAGATAAGGAATCAAAATGTAAAGGTAGACGATTTGCTCATTTACTAAGAACTCAATTTTTTGTGTTGAAAACAATATCTTGACATTTCAGAGTCTCCCACTGAGTATCTCTAGTTTGATTTCTAGTGATAACATGATGCATGTAGGTAGTTCCCTTCAAAAATATAAAAAAATGATTTTGCAATGCTTCCTCCCCTCCCTTGGTATAATGTGATGGTACTTCATACAAGCATAAAAAACTATAACAGCACAGTTAACAAGTTAAACAAAATATTTTCATCACATAATGGAGATACATCTCATTATATACTGACCATTTTAATAAATTCTTATGTTTTATAAAATAAGCCAAAATCTAATGGATATTACCTGGAGGATTATTTGGAATTTCTTGTTAGAAATTTGCATTTTAATAATTATAGGCTTTCCTACTGCCTCCTTAATAAAATTGTTAGTATGAGATGCTAACTATTTTCATTCAAGTATAAAATGTCTGTATCTCAGAGTAAAAATTGATTTGACATTTTCTGTAGCTCATCTTCATATTAAAAAAATCTCAGTAGTATACCTTTAGTATTAAATACAATGGCACTGTCAAATACCAGGGAAATCAGCAGTTCAAACGATAATAAAAATTTATTGTGAGCTTAGACTTTCTACAAAAATCTGAACCACTAATGGCCCAAGCAAATTGGTGGTAGATAAGACTTCAAGGAATTCAAGGTAGGCTGGACTGATATCACGTTTGACCCCTCCCTCAGACTCAGCCTGGTCATCTCCTATAAATACCTGGGTACTCATCATTAATTGGTTCCAGAAGGCATGATAAGTACCAAAAGAAGATGAGTACCAAGCAATTTTTTCCCATAAGGAATAATCTAGTGCCATGGTGGTGAACCTATGGCACGCGTGCCATAGGTGGCACACAGAGCCCTCTCTGTGGGCACATGCACCATCGCCCCAGTGCTAGGCCTTCAGTCCCATCCATGAGCAATCTGCATCAATACCTATGCAGGGTAAGGTTGCTGCATCCACCCCTACCACCCCCAAGCATCAGACTTTCTAAATTCCCATGAGATCTCAAACATGCAGCAGAGACTGAGAAGAGAATGGAGAAACTGAATGCAGCTGAAAGGCAGGTTAGTAAAAAAAAAAAACACTTGGGGGAGGTGAGTGCATCTGGGCAGGTGCAGCAATCTTACATTGCATGGTGGTGGGAGTGTGGGGTGTGTGCCCTTCCCATGCCAGGCCAGGTCACCTGCAGCCTCAGGGGTGCACCTCCTCCAATCATGCATCACCCCCACACACACCTTCAGTGAGCAGCATGGGAAAGGATAATGGTGGGTGCGAGGGACCTGGGAGGAGCTGCTCAAAGCAGGTGGAGGGGAGGCCAGGCACACTGTGGGTGTCGCTCCTTGCCACCTCTGCGCTGCTGCCACCACCACCACTGCTGCTTTGGCCAAAGTGATCAGCCATCACCACCACCACCGCAGGCCTGCCCAGCTCTGCTGCTGCCATGCCGCTGCCCCGCTCTGGCCCCAGGCAATGCCTCTGCCCTGTGAAGTTGCCCCAATCACACCTGCTCTGAGCCCACAATCAGCCTCTGTGCCACTGCCGTCACTGTGGCCACTGCCACTGCTGCTTTGGTCAAAGTGACCCAGCCATCACTGCAACCACCACAGTCCTGCCCGGCTCTGCCGCTGCCATGCTACTGCCCCATTCCAGCCCCAGGCAATGCCTCTGCCCTGCATGGCTGCCCTGCTTGCACCTGCTCTGAGCTCGCAATTGGCCGCCGCCACAGCTGCAGGATGATGCAGAAGTTGCGCAACAGGGGCATGTATCCAAACAGCTTAGGCAAGAAGAAGTTGGGCTTCATGGGGCTAGACCTCAGTACCTCCTGTGACAAGGCCCTGCTGATCATGGTAGAAGCAAACATGGCTCAATCCTCAGCAAGCCCTGCTCGGCTGTCAGCAGGAAGCCACCCAAGAGGAAAGCCTTATGCCGCAAGGTCCAAAATTTTCTCTACAATGTGCTAGAAAGGCAGTGTACTACTGTTTTGGAATAGAAATTCAGGGCAGGGACAAAAAAAAAAGTAGAGGATTTGCCCATGGAAGTATTATCTTGATCTTTTAGAATTCCCTTTGAGTATCCCTGGTTTGAGGTCTGGGGACAACATTATATACGAAAATAGTTTCCTTCAAAAAGTGTAAAATGGGACTGCCACTGCCAAATTCTTCTTCTTCTTCTTCTTCTTCTTCTTCTTCTTCTTCTTCTTCTTCTTCTTCTTCTTCTTCTTCTTCTTCTTCTTCTTCTTCTTCTTCTTCTTCTTCTTCTTCTTCTTCTTCTTCTTCTTCTTCTTCTTCTTTTCACTTTTATATCTGAGCTATTTGCACAGGCTCTACTACATGCAATGTTGATATATTTAATCAAGAAAACAAAACCAAACAAAAAATAATTTACTTTTGAAATTGAAATGAACGTAGAAATTGTCTGTGTTCCAATCAAAGCAGTCTGAGAAACCAGTATATAACTTGCTGTATAGATTTTAAGTAGTATAAACAAAACTCTAATCATATTTTTAAACACTAACATGAATTTAGAGCTGCTAAAGTAAACAGGGAAATATTTATGCATACATACAGTAAGCATTCACATTCAGATATCTATCTACCTACCTAGCTACATACATATACACATAGCTTCAGAATGGTAATTCTCATTTTTAAAGATTTTCTTTGATATTGTTTATTATTTTATTTCAATTCATTTATTACTAATGAATCTTTTTATAAAAAGAGAATAGAATATATAGACAAAAGGCAGCATGAATACAACTTTATCTTTTCCAACATCTATATTTACTTAAACACTGCTAAAGTGAACTAGACTCTTGAGAAATCATCCTTCTGAGGATAATTACAAACATCCCACTGCTAAATGTCTTACTTATCCAGCACTCTTCTATTAGAAGAAATTCTTTGAAGAGTATTTCATTCCATTTTGAATACTGCCACAGGTACATGAGAAAAGGATCTTAAATTTGACATCCTAGTTCTGAAGTCTAAACAACAGAATGGAAAATAAATCTAGAGTCAATGAATTCCTTCTGCATGGATTCCCTGACACCGAGCAGCTACGGATAGTTCACATCATTGTTTTTTTAACAATTTATTTGATAGCCCTCACTGAAAATCTCATCATCATCATTGTCATTGTTTATAGCCATCAGCTCCATTCACCTATGTATTTTTTTATAGCCAATTTATCTTTACAAGATCTTGGCTCCATCTCTGTCACAGTTCCCAAGTCCATGATGAATTCCTTGGTGAACACAGAAGCCATTTCTTACTCTGGATGTCTCTGCCAAGTTTTCTTCCTTGTTTTCTTCATGATGTCTCATTTCTTTCTCCTGGGTGTCATGGCCTATGATCGTTATGTCGCCATCTGCAAGCCACTGCATTATGAGACTGTACTAAGCAAAAAAGCTTGCATCCAAATGGCAACCAGTGCATGGATGGTTGGCTTTTTCTATGCAATACTTTATACAGGAAACTTGTTTATGGTGAAGTTCTGTTCCAGAATCATCAATCAGTTCTTCTGTGAAATTCCTCAGTTGCTTAAGATCTCTTGCTCTGACTTTCCTGTTGCAGAAGAATGGGCAGTCCTTTTTGGTTGTCTTTTAGCTTTTCTCTATTTTGCTCTAATTGCTTTATCTTATGTTATGATCTTCAGAGCAGTGTTGAGAATCCCATCCACCCAGGGGAAAGAAAAAGCCTTCTCTACCTGTTTACCTCATCTCATAGTCATTTGCTTATTTTTGATAAGTGGTTCCTTCGCATACCTGAGACCCACATCCAGCTCTCCATCAGCATCAGACATCCTAATTTCAACATTTTACTGTGTGGTGCCACCAATCATGAATCCATTGATCTACAGCATGAGAAACAAGGAACTCAAAGTGGCATTCTGGAAGCTAATCCTCAATATTTCTTCTAACACCTTATCCAAAATTTCTTATTTTTGTGTGCCTTAATAAATGCTTTAACATGTTTGGCTTTTTTGTGGCATATTGATGAATTATACATATACAAGACCATCTTGTCCTATGAATACCAACTGATAAATTAAAGGAAATTTATTCTATAGGTTAGGCTTCCTCCTTGTTAAATTGATAAAATTACTATACATTAATGTTGTCTTGTTTGTTTGTTTGTTTGTTTGCTTAAAACATTCTTATACAACACTGAGCAGTTTATAATTAAGAAGTGTTAATCTACTTTAAGATTATAATTGTCACAAACTAATATCTAGGATTAAATCTCTATGATACAACATAAACATATACAGCCGAATGCTAACTGTAGTGTTATATTTCATACACATTTTCTTCTAAAGGAGTAAGAAGTCCATCCATTATTATTGATATTACTTATGTTTTGTTGCAAATGCAGTACAAATGTATTGCAAATATGTATCAAATAATGCTCCTGACTTCATGTACACACACACACACACACACACACACACACACACACACTTCTAAAGTTCTGTTTTGTCTTTGTCATTACTGGATACTGAGTGTAGATTAATGAGTAAAATGAATTTAATATAATTTAATATAAAATGAATAAGCAATTGCATTTTCTTAAATAAAAAATTTATACTGGCTTTTTAATCCCCTTTTTTCCAAAACAAAATGGCTTACCTCTCTTTTAAAAACAATGGTATTTTATTTTATATGTTGTATATAGTATGTTTAGGTGTGTGTCATGTATGTGTTTCATTTTAAGAGCAGGCAACTAAATTTCATTTTTGATGTGTGCTGTTGTGCCCGCAGTAAAAAAAAAAAGACAATAAAAGCTTATCTATCTATCTATCTATCTATCTATCTATCTATCTATCTATCTATCTATCTATCTATCTATCTACAAAAATTGGAAATGAAAGATTTCCAGTTCCTTAGGTGGTTTTAGCCTTTATCTGCATTGAATTCTTCCCAAAAATCTACATTATCATAATATATCAGTATAAGCGTATTTGCAGATGCAAGCAAAGTAGTCTTTTGCAATTCACAGGTGGAAATTTTGTCAACACATAGTCCATTTTAAAATACTTATTTTATCAGAAATGGATTTCTAATGATGACATATAAACATAGTGGAAAATCTATCTATCTATCTATCTATCTATCTATCTATCTATCTATCTATCTATCTATCTATGTTTTCAGATATTTGTATTTAATTTTATGATTTGCAAAATGTTAGATTGTTTTCAGCATCAAATTTTAATTTCTTTCTAAGCTGATAGAGTTATGTCATGGTGTTACAGCAAAGAATGTATCAAATTAAAGCTTTCTAGAGGTTTGAAATTTATTTTTACGTTACTAACAATGAATTATTATTATGTGCATTAATCTATTTCCTAATCTTTTTTTTCTTTTGTATCATTTAAAAACCCTAGCCCTCATCTCTATTTACTATAAATTGCAAATATACTCTGTCTATTTCTTCAGAATAATAAGAGTATAATACAAATACTTGATCATTAATAGCTGGGATGTAGGAGATGACCAGGCTGACCCTGAGGGAAGGCTCAAATGCATCATAAGTCATGAGTCCCTGCATGTCTGCAAGAGAGCTACGTCCAGCCCATCTTGAATGCCTTTATTATCTCCCACTCTTTCCTTGACCAAGGAAACGATCAAGATTCTCTACAAGAAAAAAAATGTATACTCATTTAAATTGCCTGAATCTCCTGATTTCCCCAGGTCTTGACAATTCACACATTATTAAACTTGTTTCTTTTGTACGTGTTAAATGAAGAAGTTAGGGGTTATTGTATGGATGAGGGGATATAGAGAGCAAAGACTCTGGCTGACCCTGAGAGCTAGCACTTGAGTACTGCAGAGTTCTCTTCTCTCATTTCCCTTTGATGGATGGTTGAATGGGGATGGCTGGGAGAGGAGCAGAGCCACTATCCCAGGTGGGAAGCAGATGATTTTCTTTTTGTATTTGGGGTGGGCCAATAGATTTAAGTGGTGATGGGGATGGGACAAGATGGGAGCAAAAGGATAGGCTGTTGAAGAAAAGACATCCCAGATATTTAATACTAGTGGCATGTCCCAGCCCTCTGACCTCACACCAGGACCCTGAACAACGAACTGTTGTATGCCTAGGCCCTTAGCTACTGTTAATGAATACCAAGTCAGTCAACAATTAGGCTCCCCATATTTTTGACCTCATTGGGAAAGAACTGTAAGAGATGACCAGGCTGAGCATAAGGGCAGGGTCAAATGCAAGCATCCTAAGTCTTGATGGTGATCATCATCAATCCCTATGCCACTGAAATAGACTTAAGTACAGCTCCCCTTTAAATCCTTTGACTCTTAGTTGGTGCCAGTTTGTACTGACCATTAGTAATTCAGATTCTTGTGTATAGTTTGCATGGAATAAACTTGCAGTGCTTTTGAACTCTGTCCAGCTCCTGAATTCTTGCATCTGATAAGAACAAACTGCATCACTGTGACCTGGCTCAGGCCAGAGGGGAAAAATTCTTCTCTCAGATATGTGTCCAGCAGACTTAGGATCTGGCACAGGGCAGGAGAGCTGGAATGGATATTTTTATCTGGGAATCTCTTTTGGTCTTCATGCTTCACAGGTTTTTGGGTGTGAGATCCTATTCCTAAAGCTGATCTCACAGGATTAGTTGGGAGTGTTGCTGCTCTACCAGCCTCTGTATTGCATAGCAACCACCTTGCATGATCTGTTGGAGGCCATTCAGGGCAGGAGGTAGACTTCCCCAGTCTTAAGGACATCATCTTAGATGGCCTGGGAATTCATAGCCACTATGACAACCATGGACCTATCATAGGTTATCTAAGATTTGATATAGGACAATAGTCACATTCCAGATATGATTTTATTGTTGAAACAGTAGCAACATGAACTGATGAGGGATTTGGGGATCAGACCTTGGGGAACCCATGGTCATATCATGCCCACGTGGCTGTGAAATTTTCCAGTGCTGCCCCTCTCTGCCGGCAGGCAGAACTTATTTGAATGGCCCAGTCTCAGCAACTAATGGACCTGCTTCAGTTCCAGAAAGAGCTGGGGATATCCTGGGAATTATCCTATGCAGCCTTGGGGAGGCTTTGGTCACAATCTAGAATCATGAAGCAACTGCGGCCATGGACAGGATTGCACATATTAAATGTCGCCTGGCCCATCACTCCCAAAACTCCCAATGGATTACAGGGGTGTGCAAAGAAATTTGTTGAAACTTGATGGATAATTTCACTAGGGTCTGTTTTCAGTTTGAGTCCAAGAGTGTAACAGTTCCATTGGAGATGGTTGGAGAATAGACTTGCATGATTATCTGAGGCTGGTTTAATCCTGTTAGACCTGAGGAAGTGAGCAAGGTCCTTGGGGCTATCAAGGCAGCTACTTACTTATTAGATACTTATCCCTCCTGGACAAGTGGGTCAAGGTGGTGATTAACATAGTGCTGCAAAAGAGGGCATTTCTGATACCATTTAAGGAGGACTTAGTCCATCCCCTCCTCAGGAAATGATCATTTGACTCAACCTGTCTGAACAATTTTTATTCAATTTCCCACTTTTCCTTTCTAGGGAAGACAGTGGAAAAAGTGGTTGTCTTGCAGCTCAAATATTTTTGGATTATTTGGACCCCTTTCAGTCAGGTTTCAGGTCAGATTACTGAGGGGAAATGGGGACCCTCAATTGTTTTCTCTGAAAAATGTGCACCTTACTGAGGGAGAATATGAAGACAGGAAGACTATATATATTGCAGAGATGGAGATCAAGTGCAAGCAAAACACACAATAATTAAAAATTCAGAGAAAACAACAACATGAAATGGGCAAATGGACTATGCTTTTTTCCTTCCTTGAAAAGAAGGGATTGTCAGGAATGGAAGAAAATCTCTATGTGGGTAACAATAAATTGGAACACTAAAAAAATAGAGCTCCAATTTCAGCTAGGAATAAATTAGAGCAAGTGAGCTTAAGTAACTTGGATCTCTAAGAAGAATTGATTGACAATATTGGAGCAGCAAGGAGTTGCTAAAGTGGCATTAGTATGTAATATTCTATAGTGGTAACCAAAAATCTAAATATTTCCACATCTGCTATTAATCATTCGTTCATATTTTAAAAAGGGATTGCGAATGGTAATACAGCAATCATAGCCATGACTGTAAGAAGGAGGATATCATATCCTACAAAAAAGATAAAGAAAAGGACATGAGCATCACATCTAGAAAAAGAGATGAGGCCATATAAGCCACATAAGTAGTCTAAACAAAGGAGCCAAAGTTGTAGAATAAAGTCCATCTGGAGTGAATAGAGAAATGAGATTTATATATTTTATCATTTTACTTATTTATTTCATTATTTCTGCTGAGTCTTTAAATAAATTTTAAAAAGAGTGAAAATGTATAATTATACACTTGTTAAAATAAAAAGAGTTGGAAGGGACCTTGGAGGTCTTCTAATCCAGCCCCCCTATATCTTCTCAGACAAGTGACTGTTCTTAAAAACCTCCAATGATGGAGCACCCACGATTTCTGGAGACAAGTTGTTCCACTGGTTAATTGTTCTCACTGTTAGGAAGTTTCTTGTTAATTCTAAGTTGCTTTTCTCTTTGTTCAGTTTCCAACCATTGTTTCTTGTTCTGCCCTCTGGTATTTTGGTGAATAACATACCCATTCTTCTTTGTGGCAGCCCTCAAGTACTGGAATACTGCTATCATGTCTCCCCTATTTCTTCTTTTCTTTAGAGTAGCCAGACCAAGTCCTGCAGCTGTTCTTCATATGTTTTAAACTCCAGGCCTTTGATCATCTTAGTTGCTCTTCTCTGAATTTTTTCCCAACTCTCAACATCTTTTTTGTGATATGGTGACCAAAATTGGCTGCAATATTCCAGGTGTGGTCTTACTAGGGTTTTATAAAGCAGTACTAATATTTCGTGTGATCTTGATTCAATGCTTCTGTTTATAGAACCCATGATTGTATTAGCTTTTTTGGCAGCTGCTGCACACTGCTGGCTCATAGTCAAGCGATTGTCCACTAGGATTCCAAGGTCCCTCTCACCATTACTGTTTTTAAGCCAGGTTTCACCCAGTCTGTACTTTGAGTTTTCCTGCCTAAATGTAAAACTCTGCTTTTCTCTACACTGAAACTCATTTTGTTGGACAGGACCCATTGTTCAAATTTATCAAGAACTTTTTGTATTCTGTGTTTGTCTTCTGGGGTGTTAGCTAGTTTGATGTCATTTACAAATTTGATGAGTTCCTCTTCAATTCCCTCATCTATATCATTTATTTTATTTTATTTATTAAAAAGCTTTTATTTTCCATTTATTCATACAAAATACAATTAAATTCCTAACCATTGGTACCTCCTGCCCATTCCCCCCAGGCTGCGTCCACCCTCTCTAACCTTCCCTACATCCCTCCTCTTTCTCTCCTCCCCTCCTGCTCTCTTCCT